ATTTTAATAGGTTTGTAAATTTAATCGAAACAGAAATTTAGATTTTTTAAATCAAACTAACATCTATATTTATACATATACACCACTTGAATTAAGTACAATTATAATAATATCTATATCAAATCCAATTATATTAATACAATTATACAAACGTTGGAAAAGGAAATGTGCTCTTCAACAGTTAGTTTTTTTATTTTGTTTTTTTTTTTTGTTTTTGTTTTTCAAATTTATTATGAAAAGAATTTTTTTTTAAGTTTGAAAAATTTACAAATAAATATATTTCTATGATGTTTATTATTCAAATATTTTGCTGCTTTATTATTTTTTGATGCTAATAAAAGAAACTAAACTAATTAACTACTGCAATATAATTAGTCAACAACTATTTAATGATTAATCAATTATTTCATATTTTGCTGATAATAATCTCATAATTCTCATTTCACATTCTTCAATCATATACTTGTATAAATATACCAGTTACTGCATATAGGTATAAAGTAGAAGAAAGCTATTGAATTTATTGATTGATCAGAAAAATATTTAGAATAGAAATCATTGATAGAATTACTCATCGATGACAAAAGTGTTATTACTATTGGTATTATAAAAGTAAAATGATGAGAAATTAAATCATTTTATAAAATTCACCCTAATATTCTATCAATCTCATTTAATTAGCAATAAGTAAATTTGAATAGTTTTTTAAAAAAAATTTTTTTTGAAGAATAAAATGTGGATTTAATTAGCATTCCTAAAAGTCATCTAATAATGACAGAATGAAAAAATTGAAAAGGAAAAATAAGGCTCATTAGCTGTTATAGCTTATTCATAGTCTTTTTTAATACAATTTCCTTTCTTTTTTTTGCTTTATTTTTTAATTTATTAATTTTAAGCTATATTTCACATTTTTCACAATTTTAAATACAAAATAAATATTTAAGCAAAAAAAATAATAATAATCAGATAATTCTACTTTTTCTAATTTTTGTAATTGGAAAATGTAGGAAAATTCTGTTTTTTTAATTCTTTTCGTGTTTTAGTTTTTAATGTTTACTTCACTAAATAAATATTTGAAAAGAAAAAAAATTCATTTATGCAAGAGATATCATTTCAAAAATGAATTTTGAAAAAAATTTCACTAAAATTTTAAAATAAAATACTGTAGAAATAAATGAGGGAAGAAATAAATTCGAAAATAAATTTTTACTTTGAACACAATATTAATTAAGTAATTAATTTGCTACTTTAAATCAATCTATGTTTTAATTTTTTTTCACTTATGCTGTTATTCATGAAATTAAATGCTAAGTTGGTAATTAATAATGGACTGTTAATGAATTGAAATTGTTAAATGAATTTTTTTTTTCTCTAATCAGTCATTTATTAATTAAAAATTCAATTTATTAATAAGCTTAATTGATTAGTTTTTATCATTTTCTCGATATGGCATAGTATTGTAATGATTATATGAAACAATGCTAATATCTAAAGAATAATTTAAATTTACTCAAAACAATTTGTTTATTACCTTAACTTTAATGATACTTTTTTTCTTGCTTATTACTTTAACTTTAATAAAACTTTTTCTTTTTGCAGTGCCAGTGTTTTACTATTAGAAATGTCAATGAAATTGGGAGCGCAACATTCTCATATCGAATTAACAAGAAAATCTATGCAAAAAGCAAGCCGACAACAACAAAGGATTGTCCTACAGGTCATTTTCCCATAGCTTTCATTGAAATATATTTGTTTTGTAAATGAGAATGTATATTTCAACAATCACGGAAAAATGCAAATTTACAAATGTCACACACGGCAAAAATAGAAAACGATCACGTGAGTGACGTTTAAAACTCGGTTCACGTAAAAAAAATGATGAGAAATACTAATGAAAAAAAGTTTGGAAGTTTGGAATGCTATAAAAATACAAAAATTTAATTTTACATCCAAAAGATAATTTCATTTAAATAAAAAAAATACTTTTCATAGTTTCAAAAAAAAAAAAAATTACTTTTTCAATAATAATGCATTAGAATTACCATTGAAAGAATTTTTGATTCTCTAATTTTTTATTTATTTTGCTGCAAATATTTTTTATGCTTGAAAAGTTTTAGTTTTAAAATTTACTAATTTAATAAATTTAAATTTTCATCTTCTAGTAAATGAGTGAGTTAATGAAATGTTTGCTGAAATAATTTGTTAAATTATTTACTGTAATTTGACATCAATTAATAAAACATCAAATATCTTTTTTGTAATATATCAAATAAGTTTGATACGTTAAAAATTATACATAATTTCAAATTTAATTTTTAGATCGTTGCGGTGGTAGCAATATTTTCTAGCTATATGCTTATATATTATTTATCATATTATATTTTTCCATTTAACTATAAATGGGTTGCCGTATTGCATTCCGTTTTCTATTCTATTACACACATTTCAAATCCGGTATTTTATTTATAACCACATATAAGTTAATTAATTAATTAATAAATAGATGAAAAAAATTTTTTACTCCATTTTTCTAAGCTATGCATATTAAAAATTAATTTACAATGAAGTCAAAAAAAAAAAAATTGAATAATTAGTTTAAGACTGAATAATTATTTAATCAATTGTTAATTAATTTCTATAATTTCAAAATTATTTTTTTTTTTTAAAAAATTTTAATATTTTTTCAGGTAATTTATTTTACATGTAATAAAGAAATAAGAAAGCAATTATTTACTTTATGTATTGAATTATGGCAGTATTTTTTGTCATGTAATCGTGGTTTACTATTTGAACGATATCAATTTCCGCTGCATACAATAGAACGTACACAACAAATAAGGTTAATTCATTTCTAATTAAATAAACTATCCTAATTATTTGCTATTTTTATAATTCATTAAGTTTAATTAGAATGAAACTTTTACTGAATTTATATTCAAAATAATCAAAGCAATTGTAGTTATTTGTTATATTCTACAAACAATATCATTTAAATAATTTTAATTTCATTTTATTAATTCAAAAAAAAAGAAAAAATCTTCAAATATGCTAGTAATTTTTCATTCTATCATATTATTTATGAAGTAATACTAATAACATATATTGAAAATTATAATTAATTTATAATTTATCTTATCGATAAGCATTTTCATACTAATTTCCTCCTTTCTCTTATATATTTGTTTTTCAGACGTCTATCAAGTGTTGAGTCTCAAAAAAGAATGCAACAATCTAAAACAACAACAACAACAACAACAGCAACAACAACAACAACAACAGTTGATATAATGATAAAATTATCAACAAATATTATTACAGAAATGGATACATTAATTAATTTTAACGAATATGAAAAACAACAAATTGAAGAAAAACAAAACGAGCAAGAGTATTAATTTTAATTATTATCATAGGTGTTATCTTTTCTTGTCAATTACTTGCTATCATTTTAATCATTTGTAGTTTATTCAAACATTTATAGTTTATGCAGAAATTAGTAATATAAGTTGTTAAAATTAAATTTTGCTATTTATTACATGGTATAAGTTTATAGTTTTAATGAGTTTTTCTTTTTCTTTTTTCTTTTTTCAATGATATTTGAATATGTTAGAAATATTGCAATTTGAAATGGATAAATATTTTCGATTTCAAGAAAATATTTTTCTTTTATTTTTATTTACTTACTTATTTACATATCAAAATTTTCATTATTTGTTCATTTCTTTCAATGTTTTTTTAAAGTTTCTTTTTCATTTTCTCATTGCTCATAAAAAATTCCTTTTGAAAAAAACATTCAATGAAACAAGAAAAAAAGAAGCGATAATTGAGTAAAATATTATTTTAATTTCAAATTTAATTCAATTATGAAACAATTTTCTTTTTATATTTGAACTTACTCAGTGCTCTTTTTTTTTTATTTAAATGTGTTTTGTCCAGTCGAAAAAAAGCTGTAAATTAACTTTTTTATTTTTGCAATTATTTCATTAACTTTTGAAAATCTTTCAGCTCTATACAGAGTTATAAATGCAATTTATTTGCAACGATCAGTTCAAAAATTAAACTTTTTTTCACCTTCCCTTAGTCATCCAATACGAGCATAAATAATTGATTAGCGGCAAGCTTTGTCTGAACTACTGATCATTTCATTTTGCTAAAGTACAATTGCAAAGCTCGTTTAAAAATTTCAAATTTTTATTTTTTTTAATTTTACTATTATTATTTATTATTGTATGAGATGAAGAAGTATTGGTAGTATAATATTAAGTTATTATTTATATTATTAAGTGATATTAAATTATTATTTATATATTATATTTATTTGCAACGATCAGTTCAAAAATTAAACTTTTTTTCATTTTTTTTTTCATTTTTTCATCATTTTTTTTTTAAATTATTATTTATGTGACAATTATCATTAGGTCCCAATTATAAGCGTCCCAAAATGGCAAATAATTTTTATTCGATATCATTAATTGACCGTTTTAATCTTTCAGCTTTGATAAGTGACATTTCTGGATGAATTCGATTATTTGATGCATGCATAGATATGCTTTTAGTTATACTTTATGCAAGAAAATTATCAGATTAGATATCAAAGAGTTGAGAAGTGATAACACTTAGTAAATACTTATACATTACTAAAAGTATTACTTAATTTTAAAACTTCTTTAATAATTTATTGATATGCTAGAATCCAAATATTTATGCAAAAATTTTTTTTTACAAAATTTGTTTTGATATTATTATTGTCATATTTTCATATCTGATAAGTATCATACAAATGAAATATCTACTGTTGAAAAAAAAAAATTTTTTTTTTTTTGAGAAAAATTAGCGAAAATTATAGGAATAATGATTGATATTTTACTATTAATATATCAATTTATCAACTAAAATATATAATTTCATTAAGTTCAAATTATCAAAGAGAAAAAAAAAAAACAAACAAACAAATGCTTTCCTGCAACATTTTTTTTTTTTTCTATGAATTTATATTGCAATTATAAAAGTTCCATTTTTTTGGCGATTTCTTTTGTACCCTTTTTTGCAGCCTTTTTGAGCTCTTTTTTCAATCCTCTCATCATCGCTGTGCCAAAATCATTCTTGGAAAGATAAATGGGAGGTTTACATTCACATTTGACCTTTGCTGATTGTATCTGTAAATAAAATAAAATTTGAAATATCTTGTTATATTCACAATCATATCATTTTATCAGTTTCTGTTTCTCTTTTTTTTTCTGGGCTTTTCATCATTCAGTTAATTTTATTGGATGTAGTTAATCGTATTTTAAGTTAAATATTCATAATTGTTTTAAGAAAGTTTATTTTAAGAAAAAAAAAACATACAGTTTTCAACTTAAATAGAGCATCGAGAATAAAATGTCTAACAGTATCACATTCAGCATCCACTGCAAATTTTAATTTCAGCTTATCACCATCTCTGAAATTCAATTTTTCATTATTTATATAAATTTTTTTTCTTGGTAAATTTTTTCATTACCAAACTTTTTAGCTTCTTTTAATTGATTTCATCTTCATTTTTAAGAATTAAGAAAAGAAATTCTATGTAACAATTAGTCAAACTTAACACCTGTTCTATTTTAGTGACATAACATTTAAAAAATTTGTAATCATATATTATTAATAAAAAATGATGAAAAAAATATTGGATAATGCTTATTTACTGCAATAATTTACTATCAAATTAATTAAAAAAAGAAATGAGCAAATCGTTAAATTATAATTTTCATTTATTCCATTGATAAAAAAAGAAATTGAATAATAAGTTTTTTTTAATTTTTTTTTAAACTAAAATTCCTCAAAAAGGAGGTTGCCTGAATCACAGAATTTAATTAATTGGAAAAGAGGAGAACTGAAACTAATAAGACAGACCTTGATGTTTTAAGTTTTATGCGGCGAACTGTTTTAGCAAATTTATGTTGTGCAGATTTAATCTAAAAAAAATTTTTGTTATGATTATTTTTTGTAATTTTCTTATTTTATTCAAAAATTAAATCTTAAATATGCAATTAATGAGAATAAGAAAAAACAACAAAATCATAATAATTTGCGCTCTTAATTTTTTAAGTTAAAATTAAAGAAATCATAACCATTTGCACATTTAATTTAATCATTCCAAAAAAGTTACTTTAAATTCTTATCGTCTACCAAACTTTTATTCATTTCATAAATTAATTTTAAAAAATCTAATTATATAGAAGAGTGAATGATTGATTGATCAATCTGAAATTTTTAAGCATAATTTTGCAGACTCATTCAATTATGCAAAATTCAAGCTATCATCATTAATTCATTTTTTAATAAATTACTACCTCTGCTTCCAATTTCTTGGCAGTTTCCAATGCTCCATCTGGTGATTCAGTCTCATCCGTTGTTATTACTACTTCAGCACTTTTGCATTTTCGCCCTTCTTCTTGTGCTTCTATTTCTCGCTTTTTCCTATCTGAATTATTCCTCAGTATTAGAATCATTTCAACTTCATTCCTGTAATTTCATTTCAATTCCAAAATGTCACACCAGACTCTTCTTCTGTCGTAGGCTCAGCTTCATCTGCTGCCTCAGTAGTACCACCAGCTGCATCAGTGACAACACCAGGTACATCAGTAACAACTACACGACGCTCATCACCCTTACCATCATCGCCACCAGAAGGTTTTGCACCGCCATCAGGTTTGCGACCACCATTCGGTGATGGTCCACAAGCCTTTGAATTAATGCATAAAATTAATTAATGATATTATTGCTGCAATTATGAGAAATTGTATTTGACAAAATTAATAAAATAAAAATGAACATTTGCATAATAAACAGAAATACTAACATAAGCAAATGTCGCAATTAGCGCAAATAGAAATATGCAAATGTCAATCTTTATCATTACAAACCTGTAATTTAACACAATCATTGTCATAAAAATGATACTGTAACATCGCTCTATTGTAAACATCTTTTGTTTACATTTCACAGTAAGGTTAATTTTTAAGTATACTGTGATAGTAATTACTGTATGTGTAATTATATCTAAATTAATAAAGAAAAAAATCAATTTTGTGTAGACTATTTGATCTAATCATTGAAATGACATTAAATGAAGATGAAAGAGATTAGAAAAAAGCTAACTTAAACATATTGTGTTACTTTTTAGTAAATTCAGAATTATCCTAAAACTTAGAGAATTATATTAAAACTTCTATTGCATGCTACTTTAAAGTAACCGCCTTAAAAATAGATCTGCAAAAAAAGATTTAAATTTCAAATTATTCATATGTAAATTTAAGCAGTAAATGTTATAGTTGTCAAGTTTATAAGATAATTGTTATTTCGTACAAATTTATGATCGAATTTGATGATTTCAAATTTCATCCACTTTGATAGATGAATGTGTCACTGTTGACCTCAAATAATATATGTTCATTTGGATCATAAAAATATTTAGATGTAAATATTTTCAGTTTATAACCAATGCTTGCAAGTGAAATAATATCGAAAAATGCAATAAAAATTGAAACGAGAACATATGTATAATAAGAAATTTAAATTTGAAATTTGCTTGCTGACTTGGCGAAAAATATTTGTGTTGTTATGTTGGAATATGATTGAAAATTTTTAAACGATTGCAATTTTCTTTTTTTCTTTTTTTTGAAGTGAGCAAAATACTTTGAAAAGAATGAAAAAAATTTTAATAAACTTATTAAGTTTAACTTGATTTAAATGAAATAAAGTTTTTGCAAAAGCAGAGAGTTTTTTCCAAGTTTCTAGTACTTTCTTGTTTTTATCTTCTTTCCTTTTATCAGTTGCAAAATTATAATAATATGACATAAATAATTTTAGGAAATTGCAAAGTGAGTGTAATTTTTTAATCAAAACTACAATCTCTCAAATCTTTTTGAACATTGTATAAAGTAACTAGTGTTTCTTTTAAATTTTCATTATATTTTACTCTAGTTTAAAGTCTTTCTTGTACAGAGTAAAATAAGCATATCACTATCACTCGGTTTAAAAAGGAGAGAAAAAACAAACAAAAAATTAAAAAGAAATGAAATTTCAAAAAAGTTTTTTTTTCTATTTTAGCAATGAGAAACTGATCAGAATAAAATTCAAGTATTAAAATTTACTGATCTGAAAGATAAATAAATGCAATGTGCAGTTATGGGTCTTATTAATATAAAATGCTTGCAAATTGAATACCGTCATAGCAAAATTGTTTATAGATAAAACTTAAAGAAAAAAAATGTTTGCAAAATATTCAACTGATAAACATTCTCAAGATTAAAGTTGTTCGGTGCTCATAAAAATTTCTTAAATTTCTCAATAATTTGATTGTTAATACTATTGAAATATTTTTCATTTATACTGTTGAATAAAGTTTGATAGATTAAATTATAATTTCCAGAATCTTCTCTAAATATATTTAGAATCTCATGAAGAATGTAATATAAAATGAAATTTCAATATTGCTGTAATCCAATTACCCATTCTAAGAGTTTTTGCATGATTATTTGCAATAAAAGATATGAATTTGATAAATTTCAACCACAAATTTTAATTTGGAATATTTTTGCAAGTTTTTTGAACGTACCTAACATAAAGTTTTGGATCACAATCAAAGTTTATTGCGACATTTCATTATCAGAAACAATCATTAGAAAATCTACGACCATTATCATTAATTATCAAATAGCACGCATTAACTATTAATGAAAAGCGAGATAATTCATTATTTTCGAGAAATTTTTGAAATAAGCTGAAGTCATTATATATTATTAGTAGCACTAAATAATACAACTAAATAAGACGGTTAAATGTTATCAAATATACAAGCAAAAATTAATTGTTTCAACAAGAAATATTATATTTGTTGATGAGATTATTTCTTATTACTAAATACTCTGTGGTATTAAAAATTTCTATGAAAATTCTTTTTCTTTCATTTCTGATGACATTCGTATGATATTTCATGAGTTATTTGCTATTGTTATTATTGCTTATATTCTTAATAATAATTAGTAACTTCGGTTGAGGAATGTTGCGTGAAGTATTTCAAATTTTGCCTTACATTTTTTATTATTTTATTATAATTAATTATTAATGAAAACATCGAGAAAAATTTTTTTTCTCATAATCGTAACGATGTTAGGAAGCATTTATCATTTGTTGATTATTGCTCACATTCTCGTTAATGTAATTCTGCTCGAGAAATGTCGCAGTCGTTGAAATTCTGCTTTGCATTTCTATTATTCAATCATCATATATTTATGATTTCATTAAATTAACGACAATTTTCTTATTATTAAATAGCAATGTTAATTTTAAGTTGTAGAATGAATAAAGTTTTTTTTGAAAGGAAAGATGAAATGGATTAATTACTTTGTTTTTTAACGCTAGATATGATACCAATTTCTTTTTTTATTTTTATTTTTTGAAAGTTTTTTAAATAATTTTCAAACGATTATTAATTTATTTATTGGATTTGTAAAAAGATTTCTCAAAATGTGACGTATTGTTTTTCAAATGCATGAAACATGTAAAGTTTACTTCATGATTCATTCAAACAAAAAACTATTTACTGCACATTAAAAAAAAAAAAAAACAATTCGAAAAATAAATTTTATATTCAAAAATAATTTGCTTTTGTTCGGATATAACAGAATAAGTCATTTATTATACAAATTATGCTTTATTTAGAAAGAAAAAAAACAAAATTCTGATGCAACAAATTACAATGTTTACAAATACAGTAAGAAACAAATAATTGGAATTGAATGCTTTGTAATTCAATAAGTACTTTTCTAATTTAAGTATTTCTGTTTTAAACAAATATATTTGAAATTTAAAATTTATTTTCAAAAATTTTACCCGAAGCAATGATACTATATGAATTATTTAATAGATGTCATTTTGTTATTGTAAGAAGTGATATGATTTACAGGTGTACGAATTGTTAAACGATAGCATATTAAACTGAAAATCTTTTCACGGACATCATCTTGACGATAAAGAAATAGCAGCGGCATATTAAAAGAATTCAAATATGATAATAAATTACAATACAAACCAATGTGAAGGCAAATTTGATAATCCATTTTGCTGCATATCGTTTGAATCAGTGATGGCGTAACATGCAAAACTGTAATTTTTGTATTTATTTGAAAAGCAAACAGAAAATTGTTTGTTTCTCAGTCTAATTAAGTTTCAATTTATTACTACGCTTTATGCTTTTATCTGATATCTTTTGAATAAAATTTGCATTGCTACCATTTGAAACACTAGGAGACAAAAATTGTTGTCTTAATTACAATTCAGCACATCAGAATTTCGATAAAATTATTTTTATGCTCTTATAAATCAACTTTTATGCTTTTATTTTTACTATGATGCAGATTTATCAGTAAATAATTGTTATGAAAGTAAAATATATGTTAATGCTTGCAATAAAATCGTAGTTGACGCAATTTTACCATTCAATAAATAAAGTAAAATTGGCTCAAATTACAAAAAAAAAAAAAAAAACGATTTAAAAAATGAACAAAGCATAATAATTAAAAACTCTTACATAGTGTAATTATACAGGAAATGAGTGCTGTCAATGTGAATTCCTTTTGCTTCTTCAAAAAATTTTGCAAGTCTCGCCCTACACTTTGTGCATTATTTGCAATTCTATTAAAATGCCTAAAATTATTAGTAAAATTTTGTAAAAAATAATAAATCACTAACAACAAGAAAATATATTATTTATCGATGCTATTTTTAATGAATTCATTGAAAATGGAATTTTTTTTCATATGATGAAACAACGGTAATATTTATACGTACGACAAAAATCCAATCTAATAATTTTCTGTTCAATTGGTTTTTCTTTTTAATTTTCTTTAATGTAAAAATGATTTTTTTCTTTTCAATCAGTTTGGTTGTTTAGCTTAATTCCTGAACTAGAAAATTGAGATTAAAAAGACTTCCGAGATTTTTGATCATTAGAAACTATTGAAAGAGCAGTACCGATTATGCAGTAATTTTTAATGATTAAATAAACTATTTTGCATTTTTCATCACATTTTAATTTGCTCATTCATTTGCTCTATGACTTTTAATTAGTGATAAAAGCAAAAGTGAAGAGAAGAAAATGAGAAAAGATAGAAAAAATTTATTGAATTATATGGATTCATCACTTATTACTTTATTGTCTTTTATATTATCGGTAAATTTCATGGACTAAATTTTTTTGTGTCTGAAATTTGATTCATTTGATATATTGTTGTTATCTTGACACCTCAACACCTACTATTATAATGATTTTTTAATTAGACACATGAGTTTAATTATAATTTTTTTTTACTTTTTATTTTGAAAACGTTCATTTTTTTTTTTTAAATCTTAAAAAATAATAAGCCAACCGTTTGTTACAGTGCACGACACACATCATTACAATAACACTCATTAAAGCGCTTGATGTGCTGAATAATTGCACCAAAAATAATGCTTTCGGATCAAGTGCTTTTTGATGACTGAAAATTAAGCTCTAATTTAATTAAATTCTAATTTACAATAACAGTCGATCGTCGATAAATGTTTTCTTTTTCATTTTGATATTAATAATAGCAAAATACAAAATTCTTTGTGGTAGTTGTAACAAGTATCATAATTAAATATGCATGAAAGTAAAATTTTTAGTTATTTAACATATGATTCATTAGATTTATGTTTAATAGGTGATACTATTAATTAGTGTATGATATTACTCATAGCTAAATTCTTCATGATAATTTAAATTATATTATTCTAAAAAGTCTCAATTTGATATGAAGACTTACGCGCAATTGCTTCCAGTCATTTTATCTGGACTTAATTGAGTGATAATAATACTTAACAGTGCAATAGAAA